AATGGTCTTGTATAGCACGTTCTAGTATATTCAGCTTTGAGGAAATGGTCTTGTATAGCACGTTCTAGTATAGAGGTAGGAATAACAAACACACTGTTCTTCCCTCATTGTCCTTTTCCTCTCGAAAATCAAGCCAGATTTCAATCAGAGTTTCTTCACGGAGATATATGTGACCAGAATTTGGCGTTCTGGTAGTTCAACCTCTGAATGTGCATTGCAGAGACACTTTCGCGCTAAGATTTCACCCATTCCATGTCACGTTTCACTTAACGCGAATTAAGACATCTAAGTCGAGAACGCCTGGCGTCTAGAGTGTATGGTACTACCAGAATACACAACTTTGGCCTACCTATTCGGGTTCAGGGGCCACACTGACCCTGATATAGACAACTCTAGACCGGGGTGAGTTGTTTCGAAAGCTGGCTGGATTTTGCAAGATGGAACAGTGAGTGGTTCACAGCACCGAAAAATATGCATCTAGATGATGCGCCAAGATTTTTGATGATTGAACATTGCAAGAGCGAACGCGAGAAGCAAACCCACCAATCGTCGGCAAAGAATGACCGCAAACTGTGGAGAGAGCAGCGTTACTGCGTCTGAAATCATTTTATATTACTGATAAGTTCCCCGATAAGAAATTGCCGCACAACCTTCGAATACCACAATTACTATCACACTCATGAGAAATCTAAACAGACAAGTGCACACGTGTGAGAATATGCATAAAATTCGGTTACAGGGCTCTTGTCAACCAGATATGCTCCCGCTGCGAGAGCCCAGAGGTATTTCCTCATGGCATTTACTCGCTGAGCAGTTGGAGGCAGAAAGAAAACGAGGAGGGAAAGGGAAGGAACGGAGGAAAAGAAGGAAATAGGAAGAAAAAAAGGAAGGAGAGTTCACCGCTGACAAGTATCCTGAGAAGCATAAAATTCTGAGGAACAGAATACATTTCATAAAAGGCTCGAATTCCCTTTGATTTCGAACAATACGGCCTTTCCTATAATCATTTCCCGCAGTGTAAGGAGAGACAGATGATGCTCATTGCTAAAGAATCCTCAACGAGAGCCGAGTCATATTCAAGTCGCCAAAGACAGGGCGGTATTTGGGTTGAAGAGAGGAATATAGAAACTGGAAGCTTAGAAAAAAAATTTTAAGCGTTATTGCACCTACACATGCATATATCCCCTCTCCGTTGAAACAAAAGACGGAAGAGAAGTTAGGTAAAAGACGTTTAACATTCAGGTATAAGAGGAAAAATGGGAAGGGGCGAGTCCCTACTTGAGATTGCGTCGGAAGGAGGTCATACAGTGGGAGGGATATCATATTCTTCAGCTTCTCTCCTGTTATAAGATCAATATCGTTTTATAGTTAAGTAGTTCCGAAGAAGAGCGAATTTCTTAATCCGCCTAACATTTAGCCAAGCAGGGTTGTAAAAAAGATCAGTGTCCCACAGGGGAGGAGCAAGCCTATTGTCTCAGACGGACGTAGGTCTTTTAATCAAAGATTAAAACAGGTTTCACTTCGGAATGATGGACAGAATTTCAACTCTACGATTCACTAGTGATTCATTGTGACACGCCTGCACATGAGAATTCTTGAGTCTCTTTCTCATACAGCGTTCCAATTCCCATTCTCATCTGTCAGTGACCGTGAGTCGCATTACAGCAGGCTCATATTCCATATCAAAACGATGCTCTTCTGTCGCATTTGCATGTATCTCCCCAACTATTTTGCAAATTAATCACCAGGTGGCACGTCCACGCAACAATAGAACCAATCGCTTTATGCGCTACAACGTTGAACTGCGCTCTTGGTCTAACTCCAAAAAGCATTTGTGAGGGACGTCTAGTCCCGTTGTTCGAACTCAAACCTGCCTCAGGATATCTGTCGACGCGGATCCTTTATTCTTTTCCTTCCTTCTTTCTCTCATCGCTTTCCCTTATTTTTTTCCCTCTAATTGCTGGTGCGTTGAAGAAATGCCTCCGTACCTTCACAGCGAAATAACATCCGCTTGACAGAAGCCCTTCAACCCATTGTAAAGTGATTAATGGTTAGAACGCGTTCAGTCGTGCGATTGGATCGCGCTATTGGTATGAGTGAAATAATAATAATATAACATTCATTTAGTTGAACAGCTATACTAAAACATGTGTGGGAACAACTCTGAAAGACTTTCAAACAACAGAAAAACTCTTTGGACGACGACTTCGGCGATATCCGTGGCACTTCAAGAAAGGAGAAAGCTAAAACAAACACAAAACAAACAACGTCAACATAAACATGAACATGAACAAACATGAACCCCCTCCCCCGCTGTGAATTTCACCCATCCCAATAGTGCGATCGGTCCGCGCGATCCAATCGCACGATCGCGAAGTCTTAACGCGCTCTTAATGAAGAAAATCACAAAAAAACAAGAGCAAAATGTAGGGCCAGTGCGGGTTTCCCGACGGAGCCAGCCTACCACAAACTGGCACTACGCAAGCCTCTGCGCAGTCGGGCGACGTCACTTCTCGCCAGCTGTCTTCAAACTGTAGTGATAACGTGATCGCAGGCAGAACCCTTAGGCCGAATCCGTTGCCAAAACAGAATACACTGTTAATGCGAGTTGAACTGTTGGTTTTGCAATCAACTAAACATAGACGTCCAGTTCTTGCCTGGTCGCTCATGTCGGTGTTGCCGCAGGGCACGTCTTGCTATTGAGACAAACTTGCACAATACGACCCCCCCCCCTCAGAACTTCTTCTTCTCGTACGGCTGACCCCCTTCCTCCATCCCATTCTACCCACTAAATGATTTTTTCCCAATTTTCTACCCTTTTCTTGTGAAGATCTCCAGTTCTTCCCTACAAGTTACAAAAGTCAACAACCGAGGATGTTTTCCATGAGAGCAACATGCGGCCCCCTATCTACACCGACCAAATATGACTCCCCTCTCATGGCTCAATTAAATTTCATATGTACGAAAGAGCGAAGAACGCCCATTGTTCTAGGCACACTAAATGGTGCGCAGGGAAATTCTCAATGGCATGATTCAAAAAGAAAATGCTCTCTTGCAAGATTACAAATGGTGAACAAATTTGGGCACTATTCAACTATTACTACCCAAATTATCCGAAAACAGGCCGGATTTTGATCGAATTTTTTCTACGGCAGCAGATGTGGCTGAAAGCTAGGTTCCAGGGGTAATTCGACGTCCTGAACACGAATGTCACATCCACTTGGCCTGAAACTGCTTGGCGCTCGCGCCACAGGCGCAGGCGTCAGAAACCCTACATCCCGGAATTCGCTGAAAACTTTTCCCCTGAGGTAGTTGGACCTTAACACGAATATCACATCCGCTCGGCCCGAAAACGCCTGGTGCCCACGCCACAGGCGCCGGCCCCAAAATACCCTATCACCATATCCGCTGAAAACTTGTATACGGAGGTTATTTGACATCTTGCTTGCAAATACCATTGGCGTCGGCGCTGATGGAAGTCACAACGATCACCTGCGCTCCGCTAAGGCTGAGCCTGGCCTAAAAGGAATCACTCCTTCTCCTGGGCTCATCCTTAGAAGAGCGCTAAACGGCACTGGTGTCGGAAAATGAATGTCATATTCGTGATCAGGGCATCAAACAAACCTATTGTGCAGGTTTTTAATGATTTTGATGAAAAAGGGAGGGTGTCGTGACTTTCGTCCGACTCTTTCCAAAAGGGTCGCGTTGTAGGGGCGCGCGGAGGTCCTGGCGCGCTTAGCGGTACGGTCGAACATTCTCGAAGCCGCTAGGGATGCAGAGCCGGCGTCGACTCTAGCCTCTCACTCACTTCGTCGTCCGCCGCCGTACCGACTGGTCGCTCCTCCGCTCGTCGCCTAGTGTCAATTCCATCATTCAACTGCTATGGCAACACTTCAATATCAAGGAGCCGTACCTCGCAAGGAGCAGCACTACCTCCGGCCATGAACATCCCAGGTAACTACTAGAGGAGTAGGAACACCCGAGCCTCCTGGGCAGCCAGGGGGGAGGGTGTCTCAGAGGCCCCTAGTAGGTTGTACCCTCGTGGCCCATAGGCAGTTTCTTGGCAGGGTTCGTACGTAGGTTAGGGGCCGTACCTTTACATTTACTATCAGTAGTTTTCTCCTTTAGTAATTGCCTTTTCTATTATTATTGCTCATGGTTAATAAGCAGAGTGGTAAATCTATTTGATTATTCTGTGTACAAATCGCACTAGGACCCAGATGATTCAAGGGAGCATTGCTGCAGTATATCCATTACGTGGGGAAACTGTGCTGGTCTACAAGCTTTACCGCGTCTCGGATGTCATGATCTACATCCGCATCGTACTACGGAAGCCTAGTTCCGAATTTTGTTAAGCAGCTCGAACTTTCACATAGGGAGAAATCAGGAAAAAATCCTGTAGAAGGTTAGATTCTTAACCAAGGGATACTGTATTACTAACTTTTATACCCTTTAAGCATCATCAGCAGAACGTGATATCTCATATTCAGATCGTATCCGAACTATCTAAGACTCAGATCAAAAACGCAACAAAGTGCAAACGAATCGAGACGGAATCAAGTCAACGAGATTCAAATGACCAATACTAAGTCAAGGGAATACTGGTCAGATTATATCACAGCAAATACAATCTAGTAACTATGAAACCTAAAATCGAATGATGTCGACCAAAATTTCCAAATTGGATGGCATCTCTCTGGTGACTTACTAAGCAGTCCAAACGAAATAACACATAAAGCTAACATTAATGCCATGTGTACAGTGCAATTAGACTACATATGTCAACATAATCAGTATGCCACTAAAGCATTCACTTGAACCTATTGCGGTAAATGTCCATGAGGTATAAGCAAGTTATTACAACATTAAGTGCGTACAAGGCACAAGAACAAAAAAAATTGAGTCAGTGGGTAATGACTGGCATGGAGTTTATGTACAGTAAGGTGATACCGTTGCTCTACGTTATTAGCATACTATGGAGGTGAAATAACCAGGCTAGATTAGTTTGTGGGCTGCTCTGTTACCCTGAAGGTCTTTGACAATCCTATAAGGCAGTTTCTATAGTGGCTAAAGTATCCGAGTCGGTATAAGCCCTCCGGCAATGTTCCAAATTCGCAAACGATGTATCGCTGGTTTTGAACCGTCTGATCTGAACATGTGGCGATCCATACCCATTTGAATGGCGAGGTACAATCGTCGATCGTTGCCTGAGAATGAAAAATAGAAGCACTTTACGAATGTTAAGTCTGTACAATAGTGAGAAAACGGTTTAGAGACGGGACTTTTATGGTAGAATAATCTGTTTCCTTGCAAAAAAATTAAATGTGTTGCACAACTTCACTGCTCTCTGAACTGACATCACCAATGAAGGAGAAACCCGAATCGCCTAAGCCTTAGGCTGCCTGAACTAATTTTCCCTTTTGGGAATCCACACAACTTTTAGAGTCTACAAGGGATAGAACAGCAAAATAAAGTAGTAGTTCGCCGCTGACCAATCTATGTGTGGGATGCGGCACGCATTCTACTCCCATTCAGAATCGTAGTGATTTATCGAATGCGATGTAGTTCATAAAATGGCTTGAGGGGGGGGGGGTCAGCCAGTGTAAAAGCCAGTGCCAGTGTAAAAGCCAGTGTTATTACCTTCCCAGACGAATCTGGAACCAATACCCGCGAGTAGAAAGCTGGATTGGCCTGGACGGGAGCCGACCCAGACCGTGCGCGTAGTAAGCGTGTCAGTTTCCACTGCACCACCTCTGCCTCCTAGTAGCAAAACATCTAGATTAAAATGTTATAACGAATAACCTAATGCGCAAAAGATTGTCAGTTATGACATCTGTGAGTTTTTATGGAATATTATTAAAAATTTCAGTACCTTCACTCAAATCTAAATGGCAAATTTCCTCACACAGCCCTAAGTTCGCAGAAGCGGGTCGGGAGGGGGGGGGGGGTTGCGCGGCAGCAGCCCGTCTACACCATTTCTTGAGGAAGTCAAAGCCGTAAGAACTAGTGGAAAAACGGGTTGGCGTGCCGGATCCACCTCCTGACTGCCCCAGCGTCTGCAGCGAACACACTGTAAATCTTAAATCGGAATTGTATGCCGTGCCTACCTATGCCAACGATGTATGCCTTCTCAACAATTTACAAGTAAAAGAGATTTTCGGCGTTTATTATAGAGAGGAATCGGGAAATGCCCCACAAGTGGGAGTGGATACTTTGCTTCATTTCTTTAAATTTAAGGGATGCAATTTGCACTGGTTACTGCTGCAAATAGAAAATATGAAAGAGAGACAGTGAATTATTTCTGTTGTAATTCATAGAATGATATACCGGATAGACTGCTGCCCAATCAAGGTAGCTACACGGCTGCTCCAGTAATTGTTACGGAAATTGAAATCGACTGATTAACGGCCACAGTTGTGTACCCGTAGGAAAATTTCAAACAACACATCCCAAGTTAGTACCTTGTGATTGCTGGAACCTGAAATAGAACCATTTTGGAAGTCCGGAATGGAGAAGTATGTGCAGCACCGGATACGAGACGAAGTGGAACTAAGAAAGTATAAAGTGATCATAAAAAACAAAAATATGGAGGGTGTTACACTCTGACTCGCATTGTTGAAAAGGTGATTGTAAGTTTTCAGACTAGTCACTAGCGACAACTTCAGTGGTCAGAGCGCGGCACTTGGGCCCGAGCATCACCCCGGAAGCACAAATTCGGACAAAAATATTGCGTATCCCGCATCGAACAGCGATCTCTATGCCCAAACAACAAGATGAAGTCTGAAATTTGGTGCTTGGCAGCAAGCTTTGGAGGCCTGATTTTGTTGAAAACATTCGGAACATCTCCCCGATTTATTAATAACTTTAAACCCAAGAAATTACCAGCAGTGTCATAGCCTGACAGAATATTCCGCTGCGAATTCAGCTGAACTAACCTTCAGTCAAAGAACAGCTTGCACTGGTACAATGATCGCTCACACAGCACGTTTTCGTTGGAATATGTAGGCTATTGGTGAAAACGATATCGCCCTGGAAGTATTTAAATACTTTATTGTCGATACCAGTCGGATCGCCCGGCTGACGCCGAGCTCTCCTCCTTCTTTAGCTCGGCTTCGCCGAGCTGGCCTGGCCTTCGCCAGGCGCCACATCATGACGGGATGGAACTAGTTAATTGCATGAGCTGCTCATATTGCGCGGTAGTGTCGAATCATAATAGACAGAGTAACTAAGCGAAATCTGCAACCCCTCAGAGTTGCGGAAGGCGTGTGGTTTCGGCCATAACGCCCATTCTATACGTAGATCTCAGAAATAGATAGACAGTACAGAATATCAATATGTGTTGCCACAGTAGATAAAACAAAATTCCGTCTTTTATTACCGCATCACAGACAGAAACGCATGCGCAATTGAAAACTTGATCATTAACATGCAATCCACCTGCTATGGTTGCATGAATGGCTGCAGATGATAATATGCTTCATTGAATATCTTACAGAACTAACTTCGTTATACGTTCTCATCAGTGTTTAAAGATTGGAATAAGCAAAAAAATATTTGAATACTCACTGAACGCATAAAGTGTGTGTCCAATATTGCGATTTTGATTTTCCAAACTTCCTGTTTCAGGCGAAGTATAATACCCGCCCTAGCGGGATGAGTACATTTTCACAGCGCTGTCAGAGGAGTGATGGCTTGTGGGAAAATTTCGCTTTACTGAGAGGCTTTTTGTGGCAGTGTAGTGGTCAGAGATGTCGTGAGATTGTCCCCTTATCTTTGCTTATCAATTGTACAAAATTGCTTGTCACCCGTCATCAATGTCGCTATCACCAAAAACTCCATAATTTCGCGTCAGAGGCTCCAACATTTGTTTGAACAACGACTGCATCTTTCTCTATCCATTTGCTGAAATCAACGCCTATGATGCTAGTGTCCCGCGTTATGAGTATGTTGTCCTTTCCACTCTAAGTCCCCTATCAGCAGCTAGCAGTTCTTGTCACCCACATATTCCTGGTGCCGTAACTATATTCCCCCACCCAAATCCTATCCGCAGCCATCATCGTGGCGGTCGGGTAGTAAACGGTTTTGGACTGTCTTCGCAAAAACTACAATGCGGAGGGTGCCAGTCAGAGCCTGGCGAGCTACGCGGTGTATAACTTTTCTTCTCGCCAAAAACAGTAACAACTATGGGGCCTCATCCCCTGAAGTGAGGGACCCACCGACAGGAGCGACGTCCGCTGGGACCGCTACGGACGCGGCTGCAAAAATCACAGCGCCAAGGAGATTTGAGTCGCCAGGACTAGGATGACGATCTGTACCTTCAAACCGCACTTACCTTGCATCGCGAAGCTCACATCGAAGTATCTGAATGTTGCAAGCCAGGAAAGATCAACTGACGACGTCATCGGTACTGACCGAGACGAGGAGGCAATCGCCGCTATCATACAGCCGTGTACCGAAGACTGGAGAAGAACTGTTCCTCGCGAATATGCGATAGCAGAGGCGTTGGCGTTGTTGGCGCCGTTCTCGTCGACACGCCTTGCCATTGAACATCGATATCGTACGCAAGTCGACGACCGAATCGGACGTTTGCGATTCGAGAAGATGTGCGTTCAACTCCAGCTTTGACAATCTTCGTCGCCTACGCACCAACATCAACTGCGACTGAGGAAGAGCTCGAAGCGTTCTATATGGAATTGAGAGAAGTTCTACAAGGAAGATCATACCTTCTGCAAGGTCATCGTCGGGTGATTTCAACGCTAAGATGGACCCAAGAAGAAGCTGAAGAACTTCACATCGGAACTCACGAACGGAGTGGAATGACAAGGGTGTAAAGGCTGTCAGAGTTTATCATGTCGACCACACCATCCATAGGTAACTCGCAGTTCCAGAAGCCCTATCTCTGCCGCTGGACATGGGAGTCTCCTGGTGACAATTCCATAACGAGATCGACCACATCATCTGCAATCGAAGGTTTTGCTAATCGATGTCGCTGTTGTCCCTAAGTTCTACACCGGGATCCGACCATCGCTCCTTCGCGCAAGATTTCCGCTTTTCGATGCGAGGAGAGAGAGCCGCAAAGTTCAAGAAGCGAAGCCCAAAGACGCTTCATCAACTGGGATCACTTCACTCTCTCGCTGGGCTCTGGGAGGATTCTGTCATCGACAATATCGACGAGGAATACGAACGGCTTATTGCACAATCTTCACGACTGCGCAAAGAAGTCAGAGGGTTCCAAGATTACAAGAAGCGTCTATCTCTGGAAAACTCTCGCAGCTGAATTCGCCACGTGGAGACGCGCACGAGGCCGCCAGGCAATTACCAGCTGACGTCTGAGCTTGCGAAGCTATGCAGAGAGGAGCGATAAAAGAGACCTCAAGGAGAGAAGAGCAGCAGTATTGGGAAGCCGCAGAGGCTGGAAGAGCATACGCAACGCCCGCCGCGACTTCGCCAACTTTAAGACCAGATGACCGCGCCCTCCGGCGGCCGATGAACAATCACCGCATCCAGAAGGGCTAATGGAGGAAGGTCATCCACGACTTCTACTCGGACTCTCTTCGACAGCCACAGTCCACCTGCAACCATACCGCTTGGAGCAGGATGGATATGTCGTTCCTGCAGTTCTCCCTTCCGAAGTCCGACACGCCATCTCGTCGGTGAAGAATCGTAGCGGCACCCCGGTCCCGACAGGATCAGACCCGAACATCTGAAGAATCTTCCGCCAGTTCTCGTCAAACTCTGGCTCGACTCTTCACGCGCTACCGTCGGAATGCAAGGTACCCACCTCGTGGAAACCAGCAAAGACTGTGTTGCTGCTACAAAGAAGGGAGACCTGTACGACATTGGCAATATATCGCCCAATCTGCTGCTGTCTGTAGTCTACAAAACTCTTCACACGAGTCATCCTGAATAGGCATTGGCAGAACACTAGACGAAGGACAGCCATGCGAGCAAGCAGGGTTTCGAAGAGGATTCAGCACGATTGATCACATCCCACACGGTAACGAAGCTCATCGAAGTATCGGCGAGAGTACAAAGATGCCGCTATGTCTCACGTTCGTTCATCGACTTGAAGAAGGCCTTCGACTCCGTTGAAGACAGAAGCGGTTATCGAAGCCCTGGCAACCAGGGTATTCCTACTCAGTACATCAGGATTCTTCGTGAGCTTTACAGCAACTTCACGACCAAGATTTCACCATTCTACAAGAGATCATCATTGATGTGAAGCGAGGGGTCCGACAGGGCGACACCATCTCGCCCAAGCTCTTCAGCGGGCCTCTCTCGAGAACGTCATGGCGTCAACTGGAATGGGAAGGCATGGGAGTGAAGATCGACGGGTCGGCAACTACATCATCTCGCCTTTGCTGACGACATCGTTTTGATAACGCCAAACATCGAGCAAGCGGAACGAATGCTGGCTGAATTCGACTCGCCGGTGTGAAGAATCGGTCTACGGTCCTGAACCTAAACGAAGACGATGGTTCATGAGAAACGGATTGGTATCTGATGCCCCATTCACGCTCACGGAACGACCATCTCTGAATGCTCTAGCCTATGGTGTACCTAGGGTCGTGAAATCCAATATGATGAATGACCTAGCTCCAGAGCTGAGCAGGAGGAAGCGAGCGGCTTGGGGAGCCTACAAAGAACATCGAGGGAGTAGCGAAGAAGCGAAGAACACCAAGCTCCCTGCCAGCCTCTTCGATTCCGCGCGTCCTTCCTGCCTTGACGTACGCCTCAGAGACTTGGACTCTACGCAAAGCAGGATGAGCATGCGGTTCGGCGTTATTCAACGCGCCATCGAAAGGGCGATGCTCGAGTTTCCCGCTACACGCAAGTGAGAGAGGGAATCCGGAGCTTCCGGCACTCGCGCCAAACGATCGAAGATCAGACGACGCCGCGCATTTGCAAGGTTTCGAAGATCAGGTGGGTCGGACACGTTATGCGTTTCGAGGACGACCGCTGACCAGAGCAGTCACCGACTGGATTCCACGGAGCTCAAGCGAACGCCTGGACGACCGCCTATGCGATGGTCAGACTTCTTCGTGAAAGCTCTGAACGAACGGTATGAAGTTCATCGGGGTCCCTCGAGCTGAGAGAGGTCATTGGGCAACTCTTGCACGTTTGCAGGGACGAATGGCGACGTTACTGGCGCCCGCTCGAGGAACTCGATGATCAAGCGGGAGCACAGGTGATCACAGGTGAACCTATATCATACCTTAGAACAAACGCCCCAGTATTCCAGTCGACGTCTCCTCTGCTTCCTTCCCTTGCGCATGCTCAGATGGGGCTGAGCACGCGCAGGGGAAGGGAAGCAGAGGGGGGGGGGCACTGGGCGTCCCCCCCCATCGGCCCCACCCCACCCTGCCCGCACGAGCACACGTCCAGCTGGCCACGCGCAGCAGCTCGTGCAATGCTCGGAGCGTACCGAATGGTTGTCTTATATAGCGGAGGCCGATATCACGATCAAAACATTGGATTGATACTTCCGCACCAATCGATTTCTGGTTTGCCTAGCGGTCGTTTTCTCCTCCAGCGAACTCGAACCCGTGAAGCATTTTGCGGACGGACATACAAGATTACATTACATACATACATATCGACAAACATACAAACGACACACCAAAGTTACTGGTTTTATAGAATAGAAGGATACTGCATTTTCTTGATCGAACAAGCAGAATAGAATGTACAGGGGCGGGCCAAAACTTTCGAGACGCCATAAGTAAAACTTTATTGAATTCTGATCGGACATTTCTACCACCATATTAAAGAGCACAAGCTTGGCTGACGCGCACTACTGCGCGTATGGTTGAACCTATGGTAATGGTACTGCGCTGACAGGATTCCCGTACTGACCCGAACACTTCGCCCGATTACATTTAGAATACGGCCTATTTCATTATGATTCTCCTATTTAATGAACGTTCTAAAGTCTGGTGCTTATCACATTTCTAAGAAACACTCATCATCCGTTGGAAACAGGACAGCTTAGCGGTTGAAAGACTTTTGATGGTAATAACATCGATATCATGGTGATATATCCT